TCCTAGGTCAATTTTCTGTAATTATTACCGATAAAACTGCTTTTAGAGGTGCGCAATCGTCGACTGCGCAACATCCGTTGCGTTCGCCGTTGCGTTTACGGGAATTCCCGACTCGAAAATTCCAAAGGGGTAATCAAAAATGTTTAATCAATTCTCCATAATTAATTATCTATGAATTATAATTATAATTAAACATCGATAATTATTAATTATGAAGAGTTGCGAAAATTCGATGGGCAATCGATGGAAAATCGATGGAAAATCGATGGAAAATCGATGGAAAATCGATGGAAAGTCGATGGAGAATTGTTCCGAGTAGAAATAAAAAATGAAGATCATCAATTTTTTTATAATAAATATATCAAGAGGTAATGACAACAATCACTGACGTCTTAACTAAAAAAAAATAGTGAAGGCGCATTCGTTCGGCCTCGGCGTTTCTCGTGTCTCCAGAGTGGGAGAAAATTCACTCTTGGCTCAGCAATTGCTTCAGTCCACCGGCACAACTCGCGATAAACCCGTCATTTCCCATTCCCTAAGAAAAAAAAAATACCTCAATAGATAAATAATAAATAAACCCGAGTGCTGTGAAAGTGTTCAAGTATTAAAAAAGAGAATTCCAACTGGTTCATCTCCTTCAGACCTTCACTCGGATTACCCAACACCCGTTCTGGTAAGTTAATTAATAACTCCATTTATTTATTATCTCATTATTTATTTTATTTGTGACTTCATGAGTGATTCGACGATTTTTATGATTGAGCGCAATTTTTATGAGTTGAGTGGAATTTTTTGAATTGACGATTTTGAATTCTGAATTTTATTCCAGAATTTTTTATGGAGTTTTTATTTCGAATCAATGACTTCTGGGTTATACCTTAGAGTCAACTGGTGACACCTACGATTTTATGTAGCTTCAATTCATCCCGAAACAATTACGTAATGATTTCTTAGCGATTTCTAAGCGAGTGGGTTTTTAAAGTGGTATGCGAGCGACAATGATGTCGCACTTATTCGGTTTTTTTTTTATTGAGAGGAAAACCACTGAAAAGTAGATAATCATCGGGAATAAAAAATTACAGCCACTCCGGGAATGTACATTATTAATATTTTCATGTTGTCCTTCAACACTGTTGTTAAATATTAAAAAAAAAAATATTTCAACTTCCCAACAGTTTTTTCCTCATTTTTATTTTTATTTTCAAAAAAACTTGAATTTAAAAATAGTCTCTTAGTATTTTAAACGAATGATAATTGTTAATTACTGATTAAAAAAAACAAATACTACGTTATTATCCCTTTTAATACTTTTATTTAATTTTTAATTACTCCCGAAGGCGTTAACAATTGCAATAACATTTAACGTGATTAAAAATAATTGTGTATGAAAGATAATTATTGAGATCCACAAGTACCCGCTGATTTTTCAATTATTTTTATTTATAATTATTGTCTTATTGCATTTTGTTAACTACCGCTTTACGATGGTGAATTACTAATTGAGTATTTCAAAGTAAAAAAGAGTCTTAACAAATAATTAGAGTAAATAGGGTAACGTCAGCGTGATTATCTCGGCGATGAGTAAGATCGGACTTCGATCAGCGATCGAGGGCGAGTGATAATATTTTCTATACAAAATATTTCATGATAAAAAATATCAGTGACAACGCAATGATTTTAACAAACTCTTAAAATAATTTTATGAATCCATTTCGAGGAAAACATGACGGAAAATTGTGTTTCGTTAGTCACAGATCAGATTGGCATGGCTCCAAAATCAGGTTTCATCGACCTTCAATTCCTCTCGATGTTAGACTGTAGATATTTTCCCGTAATCACCAGAGATTAGATAAAACCTGTAACAAATAATTTCTGATAATCAATTTCCCAACAACAACGAAAAAAAAATATGATTGCCAAAAATGTCATAAATTTTCCAATAATCACCGACACATCGCGATCCCAAAAAAATCGAATGGGGTAATTAAGAATAATTCGTTAATTAATCAATTGGATCGTCTCATGAATTCTTATCACTTGCCGAGAGATAAGACGATAAATGTGGCGTTATCTACTCGTTTGATATCGAGAAACTTCGGGAGTGAATAAAAAAATCGGTAATGAACTTCTGTCTCATTTAATCAATTAGAAAATTTGTCGAGGTCTTTGAGCTGTTCTTTCCCTGATACTCGGAATTACAGTTATTTTTAAAACTTGAAACGAGTGGGTAAAAGCGAGGCAGATGGAATGCGTTGGTTTCACTACTTAAAATAGTACAAAGTCGCGTGAGAAAGTGTTTCGATCGGTAGTAAATCGATTTTCACTCGTTTAGGTATTAAAGGAGAGCAAGTCGATGATGCAAGAAGAATAGAGGCCGTCAAATAGAATAATAAATTGAAAAATAAATCTAAAAAAAGCTAGAATGAAAATTAATAAAATCGTCCAACGAATAACGTCATTTCAATTTCCACCAAAAATT